TTGACAAAAAGTAATCAGAAACTAAGTATTGAGTAATTATTTGATCAAGAAGCTAATTAGGATATCAAAATGACCATTAACTCAGAAATTTCAGATTTGTATTTAAATTACGAACAACAATCATTAAAGGCCTGGTGCTCGACGGTCGTTTTATCCTTACATGGTACTCCTCAGAAATGCTCACCCACAACCGCTTGTCCAAGGACGTCGTCCATGCACGCAAACATTTAACCTCTAGACCCTTGATACGTGATCCAGTGACGTACATTTTTAAGTTTAGTCAATTCACAATATTACGTTTCATTATCTTCAATGGATACCTCTCTTTTCCTTAATATGGTAAAAGTCTCCCATTCGAACTCTGGGAATTTCCTCTCATTACTGATTATTAGTCAATGAATGATCATTATCATCACAAATAAAAGGTGCTCACTAGTTTCAATCGCATCCACTAAAATGGTTCTTCAAAATTTTGAGAAGGAAAAAGATTACCATTACTGATATACTTCAATCACTGACACGTAACCGGTGCCTAAATGTCTGTTCTATCAATGCAGATAATTCTGTATTTCAAACCTTTCAATAAGCTCATCAGGGAGGAAGAATATGATTATTTAAGTATCGAAGGGTATTTCATAAATGATATTACCTTATGAAAATCTAGCTCTTATCATCGCAACTAAACAAACCAACCAGTGAAGTTAACTTCTGAGGGAACAGGGCATTCATGTCTGAATTCAAAAAGGTACTATGTTATTTGCTTGGATTAAATAACCATTACAGAAGCATTTTTTATAGGAATCTACATTTTGACTTTATGCGTACATTCTAAGTACATCTATATTATTTTTCTGGTTTTCTACGGGATGGGATCGTTAACCCCATGCTCAACCCTTCTCCTTTATCCAGGTTCGAGACCGGCATCATCTCCAGAGGGGCTTTAGATGGAGTTCGTCGGTGGTCTATGCTCCATTGGGGGTAACAGACGTAAGTAAGTAAGTATATTTATATGCTATTGTGATATATACATGTAACTCTGTAAATGTGTTTAGTTTCAATGATTTTATCTCGAAGATTTAATTGAGGATGACCAATTTACTGTTGAATATTTTGATTAAAATATAAGAATTATACATTAAACGCATCATTTACAGATCTTCCATCAATTGTACTTTACATTCTGTCTGAATCTTCCAAATCACAATTCCTTTCTAATCTTAGCCTTCTGCTTCTATGTTTTCAACATTCTATTAGTGTTATATACTACTTATATCTGTCTATATAAGTAGCATACACTATAATACAATGTTAATATTGAAGTATTTGGAAATAATAAAATATACTTTAAATGATTTAAGATGATTGACAATTATGTTTTAAGTAGTCTATTTGATAGGAAAAGATGTTTTGTTGTTGTAGTTTAGAATCGAAATGTCTAAAATCAGGTCGAATTTTTTTCTTCTCTATATGTCTAGTATTCATAATAATTTAATGTCAGTTATACTGACTAAGAATTAATTAAGTAAAGAACTTCGATAGATCAATGTATATAAGATGTAATTTGTAGATTAGTATTTCAGTAGCCAGGTAGCTGATTCCTAGTCGATCATATGAATGAATGTTATTGAAATATGCATATCATCAATCGTCGTATATATAAAAATCATCAACTTGAATCGACTAAGTGAATAATGGGATGAAATAAGTTAAATACGAGAATGAAGTCCTAAATACGTATGTTTCGTACACGCTGATATGGACAGACAATCAAATGAACGAAGCAAAGGTAGTGAATAGAAGAGAGTGATGTGAAACGGAGCGAGAGCAGTGGAGAAGGAATGCCAGCCAACTCGATTTAATCAAGCGTGAATTGATATTTATAGTCAGACAACAATAAGCTTCAGATATGTGATGAATAGGATAAGAAGCACACACACACACACACGTTCATATCAAAACAATCAAAGGCGAAAAGTGAATAATTAACAAAATCAAAAGGTGACTCAAGAAGAATGGATAAATTGGCCTGTCCATAAGCTAGAATAAGCTGCATGGGCATAACATAGTAACTGACACTAATGGCAGTTTAACAAACGATTTGTGACATAAAAATAATGTAAAATATTCCCTGAGAAATATAGACCAGTTTCTCTCATTATTAGGCTTGAAAAAGTATAGGTAACATATCTGAATAAGATGAATTCAGTCTTCACTATGAGGTTGTGGAGATTGTTAGGTTTTTGATTGAGATCATGAATCGTGACTAATGAACATAATTTATGTCAGATGGAGACAGGTATCTACCTCGGTACAATGGAAGATGGTCGCTCAATATAGTGAATTGGTTCAAGTTAGACATTAACACCGTTGAATACCGGCTCAGTAGTCCAGATGTTAAGCATTCGCACGTAAGACCGTTAGTTCTTAAGTTCAAATCCTGAGTGCGGGTTTATGTATGCACTTCTGAGGAGTCCCATACTGGAACGAAACTGCCATCCAGTGCTTCTTGGTTTACAATAATGGTCCAACATCAATCGATTCATGATATCAATCAAGAATTCATTTTTCTTTCACAAATTCTCATTGGTTAATTAAAGCCTAAAAACCAGACAATTTTCTAGAAGTTAAGAGAAAACAACTGCAAAGAAGAAAATCAATAACGAAAGGAAATCGAGTTAATCTCACTATGGTCAATTTATATTAGACGGTTAATATTTCAGAATGAATCGATTCATGTGTTAGATACTTTTACCATTCAAAACTGTCATTTCCAATTACTTACGTAACATCTTATTTCATAGTCTCTTTATCTTAGTTACAATTTATATGAGTTGTAATCAGTTACCATTGTAAATCAATTCACTCATTATATTTATATAACAAAAGAAACTTATTCATGTTATTGAAGAGGAAAGAAGAGGAGGAAAGTAAACGGAGAAAACTTTTGTATTTGATATTATTGATCTTCTGTTTTTTCTTACTTTTCTAGACATTTGTGTTCTTATGTAATGTCTTTTATAACCAGCATATGCGTTATGAAGATCGCTTTGAGATCAAATATAGATAAATACGTACAATGGTATGAATCACGCGACCGGGATCGTGGATGCACACTGCTGAGGAGTCTCACAATAGGATGAAACGGCCGTCTGATGCTTCCAGGTGTCCAAAGGTGGTCTTACATCAATCGGTTTATGATCTCAATCAAAAATTTAATAATCTCCGCAACCCTTATACTTTGATTGTATGAAGTTGAAGAGAACCAGTTAAAGAAATAAACTCATATTAGTATACCGATTTCGTAAAGGTAGTTTATTTTCAGAAGGGTTTTTTTGGAGATTATAGTAATTTTAATAGTTGAAATCATGAGTCGATTGAAGCTACATTATCATAGAAAACCTGGAAGCACTAGACGGCCGTTTCATCCTATTGTGGGACTCCTCAGCAGTACCCATCCATGAACCCGCCTCGCAGGAATCGAACCGAGGGCCTAAAGGTCTCGCATGCGAGCGCTTCACAAATGTATGATTTGTGATTTAAATACATTTTATACTGATTAAAACTACACAAGAAAAATATGCCAAACGAACCTTATCTACACTTGATTTATTTTGAATATTTGAAAATCTTATTTATTGTGGCAACAAATTCAACTGTTAAATTACTACAATGTCCACAAACGCTCATTCTGATGATAATTATGATGTGCTCACCAGTGACTGACCTCAAGATTTATTTCCTGGAGTTCTAGTGAGAAGCCGTAATCGACGGAGTTGAACCGGGTCTGTTGTGAGGTAGTTACTCACTGAAGACATTGGTGGACGTAGGTGCAATATCATGGATTGGTTCAAGTTTTAGCATTAACAGCGTTGGATTCCGGCTGGCTCATTATTCTAGAGGTTAAGATATCGCCCATGAGACTCAAGGTTATGGGTTAGAATTCCGAGTGCGAAGTCGGAGATGCGCACTGCTTAGTCGTCCTATACTAGAAAGTAACGTCCATCCGATCATTCCAGATTTTTCATTGTGGTCTACCTTTAATCGACTCATGAATTTAACCATTAAATAACTTTTTGTAAAAGATAAATGAGTTTCAAAAATCATATAATTGGTTCTCTTTACAAATTCAAACAAAGTAAGGACAATAAGATTTGTAGAATACGATGAATTCATTGTATTTCGTCACAACGATTTGATCATTTCTTATATACATATTATTCAAATGTATAATCCTTTCCATTATATTATAAAATAATATTTGACAATCATTTCCTTCTACTTCAAAAATCATTGGACATTTTTGATGTAGTTTTGTCCTCTGAGCTGGATGAATCGTTCTTCTGAACGATATCTTCAGCACAAACTTCAAGCAGAAGTGAAGTGTTCGAATTTCTCCATATATGACTCACAGCTTATGATATAGACCCATTGATACCACACAAAAAAAACAGAATCATACTTTTATGGTGTTTTGTTCTCTGAGCTAGACATCGAGGTCTACAGGACAAGCTGTGAACAACATATTGGAGAAATTCGAACACTTCATTTCTACTTGAACTTTATACTGACGATGATATCGTTCAGAAGGACGATGAATGCTCCATAACGAAACCATCGAGCTCAGAGAATAAAACTCCATTAAAATCATCTATCTGTACTATAAATCCTCTCTATCATCACAATAATAATTATGTATTTAGATGGTGGTTGGAGGTAGTCGACAGCAAACCCTGGACCCGGGTTTCATGCTATTTGGCACTCGTCAGCAAGCTGTACCTGTAATCTTGAGGGAACTGGTGCTCCCTGACGGATTCGATCTCGTGTCACTCAGCTTCACAGTCAGAGACGTTACCACTGAGCTATCCGAGCCGTGACTAACCTCCTGTAGGACTGAGATGTAATCACAATTGATTGATCACCACCCAGTGATCAATCAATTGTGAATAATTATGTATCAAATAAATAATAATCTATATAAATAGACAAATTTTATTACTTACTTTACCAAATTCACTAAAAAATGTTTTTAATTCATCAGCTGTAGTACCAGTAGAAACACCACCAATGAATACTTTCTTTGTTCTAACTAATGCTTGTGCTGCTAATAATGTAGCAGACCAATGATCTAATGTTAATGGACTAGTAGTAATAGGACTATTCGTTGATGAATTAATATTTCCATAACATGGTGATTGTATTCTTGTAGAAGTAGTGGATAAATTCTTTTCTTTATTATTATTATTATTATTATTATGATGATTCATATAAATTGGATCCACATTACTATTAGTATTAGTAGTATTAATAGTAGTAATAGTAGTATTAGTATTGTTATTATTCGCTGTTATTCCCATATCCGATGAATTCATTGATGGTAGGGATACATGAAATGTTAAAGATTGTTGAAGTTTTACATCATCCATTAACATAATGATTTGATATGATTTTTTAATATAAATAATCTTCTTTAATAGAATAGAAACAAGCCCGTAAAACAAAAATCATAAAAGTTATTTGAAAGACAATAATATTGTTGATAATCTTTATAATTTCTCTATTGTAAGCCTTAACAACAACAACAAAACTACAATTTGAGGAACAATGTTACACATGCAGAATGATGTAATATTGAAGTTCTCTTTAAAACATTCTTTTTTTTTGACCTAATACATACACATATCTAATAATGACATAAGGGTTTTGTGATCGGCATCTGTAAATGACGCAAACACACCACTATACAAACACATTTATGCACACACACACACACCTACACACACCTACACACACATCTACACAACATCCAACCTTATTTCCTTTTCTTTTGTCTAACCCTAACCCTAACCCCTAAAATAAATAAAAAAATTTAGAAAAAAAAAATTCTTATTTTATTCGGTTATTTGTCATGGTATTGGTTTTGTCATAATAATGATTACTTAATTTTGATTGGTTGAAAAAATACAACCAATCAGATTCAAGTATCTTTTTTTTGTATTTTTTAAAATAAAAAGTAATCTCAGTACCGTTAGCTAACAACATTCCAATAAAATCTTCATAATGGTGGATACTAAATTAATTAAAGTAATATAAGTAGTATGATGACAAGTCTTTTGTGTTTGTTTGTCTGTTTGTTTTTGTATCTATGTATGCATGTGTGTATGTGTATGTGCGTGTGTGTGTGTGTGTGTGTGTAATAAAAGCCCGCATTAAGTATCAAATTAATGAAATTGGAATGACCATAATTAAAGACAATAAACAAGAAACCTATTGACATTGAATTACGAGTTTATTTATTGACTTGGATTTGATTTAACAATCTAACCCTTTGTGATACTAATTAGTTATTGTCTATGCTAACGATAGTAATCATAATAATAATAATAGTAAACAGGTCCTAACTGGATGCTATGCGGGTTTGTTCTATGACAAAACTATAATTTCAATAATGATTAGTCTATGATCATAATGAAGTTAATGTGAATAATTAGCACAGCATGATTACCATTTTTTATTTTTCAAATAGTGTATTTCAATTGATAGAGAAGATTTATAGTTCAGATGAATGATTTCGATGAAGTTTTGTTCTTTAAGCTGGATTGGTTTGATTGTGGAAATTTCATTGTCATCATTATTGACATTATCAGCTGATGATATTGATGAAAGCTTCATGACTAAACCATCCAGCTCAGAGGACAAAACTGCATCAAAGTGTATTTCAGTAGTTTCTCTTTTAATTTTTTTTTTTTATAATTATAATTATAACTAGTTGATTCTAAAAGAAATTTTTATTGCAAGTGTTCGTAGAAGGAGGTATTAGATATATATGCGTGACATTTTTGTAAAGACCGGAATACTGTCCGAGTGATCAAGTTGAAGCAGGTGGTTTTCTTAAGGGGTTACACCCTTTGACCTAAAGGTCTAATCTACAAGGAAGTGGAGTAACATTCGGAGATACAATTCCATGGTAGCCAGTGAAAAACAATAGGTCCATATGCCATTTGTTCCCTTAAGATTCTAGAGCCCATATCTACAGGGTTTTCCAACTTCTTTTGCTCGATATCCACCAACGCAGTTAAGGTACCGGACATTCGCTTTTCGTCCTCTTTATTATTGTCATTTGTCATGTGAGCAATTATAGACCTAGGATAATCCAGGTATATTCAAATTTATATTACCTCATTATTAACATTTGTTTCTTTAACCAATCTAGTTGATATTAGATTTTGAAAAAAATCATTTAACTAAGCAGACAACCATTATGTATTTATTTTGTTTATATGAACCCATAAACATTTGTAAAAAAGGGGAACCGAATAAATATATGCTACCCAAGTCATTGGATTTGAGTGAGGGGTGTGCTACTGCTTGGGTGTCCAAACCGAAGCAAGTGATTTTCTTAGGGGGCCACACTCGGAGAATTCGACCTACAGATCTAATCCACAAGCCAGTGGAGTAACGTAAGGAGATGCAATCTCATGGTAGCCGGTGACCAACAATAGGTACATACGTCATCTATTCTTTCAGGATATTGGAGTCCATATGCACCATTGGTTTGTAATCAGGGTTTTCCAACTTCCCTAGATAAATCCTTTATATCCACTAACCTAGTTAAAGCGCCGAACATTCACTTTTCATCCTCTCAGTTACGTGAATAACATTCCCACCATGACAAGGTAGTGAATATTACTTCCCTGGAAATGACTGTATACGTTTGGCCATGTGAGGGAGAGTGAACTCTCCCCATTCTCAGTCGTATCAGGGCATTTGATGGTAACCCTTATGTTGATAGTTACATATTTCACAGTGATTACTCCGTGATATAAACAAAACTGTATTTCCGAACATTTGTTTTATTGAATGTTCAGCTGATCAGTTACACTATTCATTACACGTACAGCTTAACATATATATCTATATAGTCTAGATGTATATAAATAGCAGTTTGAATCTTTTTTTTGATTCCCTAAAAATGCCAACCTTCATTATTCTGTTTGGTGTTAATAATAGAATTTCTAATTACCGTCAGTAAAAATTTTTTTTCTCAAAAAACTTAATATTTTTACGACTATTACAACTAAGAAAAATTGAAAACTGAACAAACATACGTTACTGAGGGAAAAATTTAAATATAAACTGAGACTAGATGGTGGTTGAAGGTAGTCGACAGGAAACCCTGGACCCGGGTTTCGTGCTACTTGGCACTCGTCAGCAAGGTGTATCTGTAATCTTGAGAGAACTGGTGTTCCCTGGCGGGTTCGATCTCGTGTCACCCAGCTTCACAATCAGAGACGTTACCAGTGAGCCAAGTAGCACGAGACCCGGGTTCAGGGTTTCCTGTGGACTACCTCCAACTACCATCTAATCTCAATATATAGTGCCCGCAATGTCGAGTCACCTAGACTGGTGGCCACATTGCAACATGGTCGATAGCATTCGATCTGCACTAAGAAGGACTTGACATACATGACATTGATCACCACCCAGTGATCAGTCAATTGTGATTAAATATAAACTATTAGTTCGCTTGGTGTTGTTTTGTTTGAATCTTCCTATTGATGTTTAGGTCTGCAATTGATCAGTCTCTTATTGGTATATGTACATCCTGTGCGGATTGCCTCGATATCACATTATGTCACAAGCTTTTAGAAGCAAAGATGGATAGTGGATAACAGTGGAATTCAGGACGTATGTTTTGTCCTATATGGAATTCGTCAGCTGGATTTGCCTGCATCTCAAACTTGTTGATGTTCCCCTCCGTTATTTGAACCCAATACCGTTCACTTTAAACACCATCATGTTTCCCTTTAAGCTACTGAGTCCTGATGGCCACTTGCTTATGCAATGGGCTAAAGTTTAAATTCACTTAGTGTTGTTTTACTTGTATCTTTCCATTGATATTTAGGACTACGATTGATCAATCTCATGTTGGCATATGTTAGTTACTAAACGATTCAGTAAAAAGGAACAAAACAAGAAAACAATGATAGAAGACAAACCACAGATTAAATGAATTACTATTCATTTTAATGAAGTAAAATTATCAAATTCAATGACCATTTTCAGTCGACATTTTATGTAGAATAGTTATGAGATGGATGAATATTGTTTATGTTTTCGTATTGATAAGTAGATGAATATTAATTTGGTTATTACTATCTGTTGTATAGTAAATAATCCTACTCAAGTATTATGGTTAATAGACATGTATTGATTAAGAACACAAGTACGGACAATCGTATTAGTAAAATCTGAGAACCATACAGTGAATACTTCATTTCACTGGTTGAAATCATGAATCAATTGAAGCTAGACCACCATGGAAAACCTGGAAGCACTGGTCGGCCGTTTCGTCCTAGTATGGGACTCCTCAGCAGTGCGCTGATAATAATTCATTTGTAAAATATTAATCAATCGTCTCAGACTTCAATATTCTTTCATTTCCACACTAATCATTCTTTGTTCTTGTTCTTTTCTCTTCCACCTTCTTAACCATCTGATGCCAAGCAATTCACTTTCAATTAATGATACATACTACTTATATTATCTGTCAACATTAGTAGAACATACCACAGACGTACCGTTGTAATGTAATTATTAAAAACAAACATATGCAGTATTCTAATGACTTATCAGAAATTCACAACACTATACACAAGATAGGATACAAAAACTAATTTTCTTTTCAATGAACCTTTCCATATTCCAAGAAGTGGAAATCACAGTTGAAAACATAACTGGTGATAAACTTCTTACTTGTAAAAGTAAATAGTGAAAATTTGTTTATGAAAAAGAAATCAAAAGGAAGAAAATAGTGAGTAAGATCATTACGTCGTCATCGAACTTTTTTACTTACTTATGCTTGTTACCCCTCGTGGTGGAACATAGGCCGCTCATCACCATTCTACATCTGACTCTGTCCTAAGCAATCGTTTCCAGTTGCTATACATTCTCTTTATATCTGCTTCCAATTCTCAATACAGTGTGCTCTTCAATCTTTCACGTTTTTGTTTACCTCCAAGGTTTAAGGTTAACACTTGCCTTGTGATATAGTTTGATGATTTCCATAATGTATGTCCTATCCACTTAGAAAGTCTTTTACTAATTTCATCTTTATCTACAAGCTGGTTTGTTCAATCTCATAGTAGGCAATTGTCACAGACAATAACATACAAAAAACAGTAATTTAATTTACCAATAGCCAACACAATTGCTCATGTGAAACGAATAATTTATCAGCTTTTAAGAACCACTTTATTGACAAACAGATTCATAATTTGTATATTCAATATATGAAGGAAAATTATTCAGCTCATTATTTCTTATTTCACATTAATTTACTAGTTGAATTGATGAGTTAGTTAAAGTTAGACTATCATGAAAAATCTGAAAGCAGTAGACGGTTGTTTCGTCTAACTATGGAACTCCTCAGCAGTGTGCATTCACGATCCCGCTTGCGGGATTTGAACCCAGGGCGCTCGAACGCTTAACCTACTAGACCACTGAGGCGGCATCCAATGGTGTTAATGTCTAACCTCAACCAATCCATGAAGTTGCGCGACCATCTTTTATTTTACTGAGGTAGACACCTGTTTCTACTCGACACGGATTAGCTCCATTGGTCACGGCTTCCCACCAGAACTTTGAGAATTTTCTCAAGAAGCAAGTCAGTAGTGAGCACATGGTAATTATCAGATTTATTAAATACATAGTAATGAATGAAAGTTTATAATCTGGCTATATGTATTAGTTTCAATATCTTTACTAACTAGATCACATAGGATCATCTATAGAACACTTCTATGGGATTC